ACTCTATTCTCTCTTTGCCCTTTTGTCACAACTGGGTTAGACATTGGGGAAAGGGTGGTAATTCTTCACTTAAGAGTATCCTTACCTTTTAGACTCTAAGTTCCATGAGTTGAGGCCCATACCTTGCTACTTCAGCAATTTCTAATACTTGGTGATACCTAAATGTTCAATAAATACGTGCTGAATAATTCAATCAATAAATTATTACGGTAGGGTTCAGCGCAAGGTGACCTGACCACAAATGCAATGGTGTATGTGCCTGAATCTACCCAAAAGACGGCACTTGTCAAAGAAGAGACACTGACCGTGGACCTCTCTTATTTTTGATCTATACTTCTAACTTATATTTCACTGTTCCAATTTTCTTTTCATTCTTGTATCAGGTGAAGTCATATCCCAAAATATATAAAAGAAAAATATTTTAAGTGTTATCAAATTAATTAATTGAGTTTTTCAATAGGCTATAAACCTGGGGCTAGCAATAATATACAGTGGATCAAGTCATTATGTTAACTTCATTTCCTTTACTGCTAGTGTAATGCAAGCTATATAATCTATGGCAAGAGTAGGCTAGTTAAAAATGATGGTGGGCTTGTAAATGTTTACAATCCTATCTGTGAAGTTGGAGTACAGCCAGTTCTGAATGCTAATAGAAAACCAAAAGAGGCTAGTAAGCCAGAGACCATCCGGACTTCAAATCTAAGAGTTTATTTCCTGTCCTGTCTTCTTGACTTCTATGCTGCAGTAGACACAGAGGGGCAAATTTATTCTGGATCCTTTTATGTATCTAACATCTATGACAACTCATGTTATGAGGTTTCCTCTATCATTTTTCTTCCCCCCTCCCACCTGGCCCCTTGTATACCTAACCTCATTAACTACAGCCCCATTACCACAGTCCAATCATGGGACCCCAGCATCATACAGTGAAAGAGCAGTGGGGAAGGAATCGAGTTACCAGGCTCCAGTCTTGGTCCTGACACTAGTTATTTGTATGACCTTGAGCAGTACTTAATTCTGTGCACCTCATATTTTTATCTACAAAATGAGAAGGTTAAAAATTCTTGAAGGTTTTCCTCCCCACACTACTCTTCATTTTCCCCTCGGAGGGATTACGTACTCATAATATGGACTCATTTATTTGAAGTCCTAAATCTATCTTTAGCCCTGATCTCTCCCACTGTCATCTGTCCACATGCTATTTCCATTTAAATGTTCCGCTAACATTCAAGACTTAGAGGCTGCACACTGCTGGTGGCACAGCGTATTGGTACCACTCTTTTAGAAAGCAGTTTAGTAACACATCTCAAAAGTCATGAAATGCTGATACTCTTTGATATGGGAATTCAACTTCTAGGAATCTATCATTAGGAAATGATTCAAAGTATTGTTTTAGGGCTTCCCTGGTGGCGCAGTGGTTAAGAATCCATCTGCCAATGCAGGGGACATGGGTTTGAGCCCTGGTCCGGGAAGAGCCCACATGCCACGGAGCAACTAAGCCCGTGCGCCACAACTACTGAGGCTGCGTGCCATAACTACTGAAGCCCATGCGCCTAGAGCCCATGCTCCGCAACAAGAGAAGCCACCGCCACGAGAAGCCTGGGTGCTGCAACTAGTGAAAAGCCCGCGCTCAGCAATGAAGACCCAAAGCAGCCAAAAATAAATAAATTAATTAATTAAACAAACAAACAAAAGTAACTTTTCATGAATTTGGAGTTCATCAATTTAGAAAAGGAATACAACTTGAAACTTTTGGATACAGTATTTACTAACACAAATTGCTTTTCACAATATTAACATGTTAATGCTTTATTTGTATAGAAACCATAGCACTAATTAAAGTGGAGCCTTAAGTTATTCATGAAAATATTCATTAGCACTTGGTGTTACAGGGATAGTTTTAGAGACTCTTAAAATGTTAGATCCATATAGCTATCAATTTTCAGATTTGGAAACTGAGGCTCAGAAAGGTAAAGCACTCCTCACCAGAGTCTGTACAGGCAAGGAAGTGGGGTCTGTACATAGTCTGTACTATGAAGTGGGGTCTACAATCAGGCTGCCGCCCTGTTCACTGTCAAATGCTCCTAATAGCACAGCACAGGGGAACTGACCTCCAAAGTGCATTAAGTCCAGAGATGCTGTATGAATACCCGCCTGCTTTATACAGTGAAGTGCCTTGAGCCCTAGAGAAGGAACAGGCATACAAGGAAGACAAGGCTTTTCTTATAAAACTTGCAGTCTTGTGAGGAAAAATAAACCTGACAAACTGTTTGAACTATAGTTCAGATGTTAATTCAAGAAATAAAAATATATGATTGGTTTGTGAGTTGATGCATGTTCCCAAAGATGTCACAGGAGCTCCGAGGAAAATCTAACAACTCCCATGCGACGGGGAGGTGGATGAGTGTTGGCGGAGGATGTGAAAGTTGAACTGAATCTTGAAATATGAGGATGATTTAGAAGGAGAGAAAGAAAAGACGGCACTATAGGAAGATGGAACTGTGTGAATGTCTGTAAAGAGCTCCCCCAAAACAACACACCGTGTCATCACTGGTATTAGGTGAGTGACTTTGTCATTTATCTTCAGGGTAATTTGCATCAAGAAGAGCGCTTCAGTGTTCACTATCTGTCCCGCCAAGTTGTGAAAAAAGATATGACTGGGAACTCAATGCAATGCTTTATTTATTCGCTTACAGAGAAACGGAGGCAGCTTTCAAAAATATAGAGCACAAATTGAAAAAAATAATATTAAGAAAAATGATAAACCAAGTACAAGCAGCGCACACAGAAAAGCAGCCTATCCCATCCAGGTGGCGGTTAGTCGGAGGTGGGCCCAAGGGGGACGAAACTAGAATTGATTTTCTTAGCATTTGTAAGATCCTTCATGCATTAGATTAAAAATAAAGCAAAAAACGTGTAATTCAGGAGAAGGCTGGCCGTTCCTAATACTGAGACATGACAGAAATTTCTCCCTCGAGTCCTCATTCAGAAGCCAGTGAACCATGTAACAGGTGTTGGCCTCAACCCCGCCCCAACCCTGCAGTTAGAAGGAGTAGTTTCACCTGGCTGTCCTCAGCGAAGGACAAGGGCACGACGTGAGGCGCAGTTCCGTTATGAAACAGCGTGGTGGCCCACATGCCCAGCCCTACTTCAAATACAAGTAAAATCTAGATCACGTACTGGATTGCAGAGCTACATGGTCTTCAGTTCATATCCATTCATTTATTCACTCAGTATTTACTGCTTGCATACAACGTGACAGACATGGGGGGAGAGCCTTGAGTAAAAGAGACAGCCATTCTCATGGAGACTGGCTCACGGAAATATTCTAGTGGTGGGAGAAAGATCACAGGCAAATAGATGTATGTTAGACGGTGATAAATGCTCTGGGGAGAAGTCAGCCAGGGCCAGGAGACAGAGAAACATGTGGGGCAGTGAGGGAGTTATTCTGAAAGGGTAATCACGGACAGCCCCCTGATACGGAACTATGTGGGCAGAAACCAGCATGAGGCGAGGAAGGAACTCTGACGTCTGGCAGAACAGTGTTGCAGGCAAACGGCACAGTTAGTGCAAAGGCCCTAACCTTGTGTGCGGCTTGTCTGAGTAGCTGCAAGACACCCAACCAGGCAGAGGCAGGGAGGGTCTTCCTATGAAAATGAAGGAGCCGGGATGAGGTGAGAAAAGAGAATAATGGTGGAATCAATCTTTTCTTCGGGAAACTCCCACTGTGTCTGCTTCAACACAAGCCAAAGGCAGCTGAGGACTGCCGTGTATACCATAGAACACGGCGATCGTCACGTCAGCTTAAACATTGTGCTAAAACAGGTATTAAAATCATCCACTACAGGGCATCCCTGGTGGCGCAGTGGTTGAGAGCCCGCCCGCCGATGCAGGGGACACGGGTGCGTGCCCCGGTCCGGGAAGATCCCACATGCCGCGGAGCAGCTGTGCCCGTGAGCCATGGCCGCTGAGCCCGCGCGTCCGGAGCCTGTGCTCCGCAACGGGAGAGGTCACAGCAGTAAGAGGCCCGCGTACCGCAAAAAAAAAAAAAAAAAAAAAAAAAAAAAAAATCATCCACTACAGACACAGGCTTTTGTCTAAAGCCCACCTACACTATATGGAGAATATTAGAGCAAGACAACTAGACTTATCATTTCCGACACTTAAATATTCATTGAGTGTCCTAATTTTGTTTCCTGGTGAAACCTCCAAAGTTTTTGAAACGCCAATTGCACCCCTCTGTACCTGACATGCAGCATCAAATCATTCATTATATTTAAGCCAATGCTGCAGGGCATCTTTCAAAGGTGCTAAGTTTGATTTTAAAGACAATCTGGCAATTGTGTGGATAGCAGAATCTACCTTCTATTGTGGGCACTTACGTGTGTCAACGAAACTATATCGTCAATTTAGAGAAGACAACTTATATTTGTTTTCCCCACAGCAGGGGGCATGCATCCAGGACACCAAAAGTGGGATCAAATGATTTAGACACAGTGAGAAGAATGAGGGGGAATCAAAATACCCCTCTGCTTTACGCCGTGAGAAATGTTCTCTCTTAGGAGCCTGTCCTACAAGACTCTGTGATCTTCTAACAGTTATAAGACATAGGATCTATAAGATTATTGGTAATTGGTTCCATAATGAATTCAGAGATCTTAGACCATGAGCAATTCCCCAGAAAAATATAAGTGAGTAGTAATAAAACCAGCAAATACCATGTATTGTTCTTGTTAGATTTTGTCCCAAAGTGATGGAGAATATAGCAATGGCCTATATAATGGACCATCTTTGTCTAGAGGCCACCTACATACACAAAGAATACTGGAGTGAGAAAACTAGGTTTGTAATTTCTATCAAGAAGAAAACTGACATAGAGATCAGTTGTCTAATATGAGCTTACAAGTTAAATGATACATATAAAAATCTGTGTAATATTAATTTATATATTCAACAGAAACATTTAAAAATATTATGTGAAACTAAATGGTAACAATTACCTGCTCAGCCAGTAATGAAGCTAAGCTTGAATATGCATCTGCAAACTCGGGACCATATTTAATGGAATCTTTCAGTAAGATGATAGCCTCTTCCTTTTTCTCCTGAGACCTATAGGTTATAAGAGAGTAAAAAAGAACACCTTTTAATAAAACTTTAAATCCTCTGATTAGACTTGAAAATCTCATTTCTTTTAGCAAAGATTAACGGATCCACTCTGATTTTACTGCAAATGAATTACATTAGACTTCCTCCAGGTGCTAATAAGTTTCTGTCTCTGAATTCTCAATGGAAAGAGATGTTAAGATATAAATGACACTGCAGGTTATTCACTGATTTCTCTACGTTCCATTTCTCGCTGTGTGCTCTTGAGAGTTTTATTTAAAAATGTACAAGTTTATTAAGCAGAAAGTTTGACCTTCACAGGAGCAATTTTGGGCACATGACCTGGGTGGCATGCGAGCCAGTTTTCAACCATGTGGAGGATGGTTTGAACCCCTGCAGTACTAACTGCACCTCTGCAGGCTGGCTCCTAATGGGGTCTGAGCCACCTATCAGCAACAAGCCAGCCAAACTTCCCACGTTCATCTTTGCTTTTCTATCAAGAGAGATACCTTTTACACATAATTTGTGAAATTAGAAGATACTGTGACTACTGGCTGGCAAAGAATGATCAGCTCTTTTATCCTCATATTTTTATTAAAAATCGGGCTGATGATCTTCATTTTAGTCTTCTCCCAGTGATTACATTTTTTTTTTTTTCCTGCGGTATGTGGGCCTCTCACACTGTCGTGGCCTCTCCCGTTGCAGAGCACAGGCTCTGGACGCGCAGGCTCAGTGGCCATGGCTCACGAGCCCAGCCACTCCGCGGCATGTGGGATCTTCCCGGACCAGGGCCCGAACCCGCGTCCCCTGCATCGGCAGGCGGACTCTCAACCACTGCGCCACCAGGGAAGCCCCCAGTGATTACATTTTTTATTTAAAGAGAACTCAAGGCTTCAAAGTTGTTACCACTATTTTGGGCAAAAGTTCTCTTTCCTGTTAGTGTCATGGGGAAACACTGTGTCATTAGCCTGATATCAGTATCCCTGAAGCCAAAAATGTACGCTGGCAGTGATCAACTTTGCCATCAATACAATTCCACATACACTGACCACTTGCTAAATGCTAGACATTGTAATTGGCAAAAGAGGTGGAGTGAAGAATAGAACCACTGGAACTACGGAGGGCACACAGCCTAAGGGTCCCCCAACTTTATGAGTTACCAATACTGAACTGTGTGCTTATGTTTTTACTACGTAGGGTCAACAATCATTTATTCAACAATGAATATGTACCAAATGCCCTGGTCAATTTTCACATAACATCATTAATTTAATTCTCACAGCAATCCCAGGCAGCAGGTATTACTGTCCTATTATACTCATTTTTCTAATGAGAAAAATTTGGATTCAGAAAAGTCAAGTGACTCATCATATTCCCATAACTAGTGTTCTGAGTCAAGATCTGGTGCTCTTCCATCACACTATACTTGCTTATTCTAACTACTTAGAAATCCACCTCCTATGAGCTTGATGCCCGAAGTGTGAACCACGGACCAGTAATCATCAACATCACCTAGGAGCTGGTTAGCAGTACAGAGTCTCAGGCCCCATCTGGACCTAAAGAATCAGACCCTGAATGTTAAAAAGATTCTCAGGTAATTTGTACTCACATTGAGATTTCAGTAGCGCGGCTCCCTGAATTATCAAAGGCAGCTGAGAGGAGCTCCTGCTATATAGAACCCCTATGTAGGGCTTCAGGCTCTACAGGATGAAGATCTATAGGGGAAAACTAGTATTGACTCCATACGTTTGAGTTCCAAGTACTAGAAGCAACATGTTACAAGACGATTTTACGTAGAAGACGGTCTCCTGTCACAGACCTTGAAGAAAAGGTCATGTTTCCAGCAGAGGCATTGCATTCAATGTCTCTCTTGCATTCAATACACTATTCAAGGTAGCAAACGTGAAAACATTTGTCATTGCGTTAGCTGTTTCCAGGGGAGGTGGCTATCCACACTATCCTCTCCTTAATGGGGTCTAACTAACTCAAACTCTGGCTCCTCTCGATGCATAGTCCTGCCCTTGATATCAAGGTGCAACACCTGAGTCGTTAAGTGGCTCATCTTTGGGATGTGGCTTTAAAGTTGTGCGGTTATAAGAAACTGGCATTATAGCTCTCTCAGTGCTGCTTTCTTGTCAATCCATTCATTTAGTTGACAAATATTCAGAGTGTCTGTAAGACTATGGAAGACCACTATGTTTACATATGCTTGGGTTTCTAAAATATACCTTGAAGTAATTCTTTCATGGGCACATGTTTTTAAATGAAAACTTTTTTTTTTAACATCTTGTAATTGCTTTACAATGTTGTGCTCGTTTCTGCTGTATAACAAAGTGAATCAGCTATACATATGCATATATCCCCATATCCCCTCTGTCTTGTGCCTCCCTCCCACCCTCCCTATCCCACCCCTCTAGGTCGTCACAAAGCACCAAGCTGATCTCCCTGTGCTATGTGGCTGCTTCCCACTAGCTAGCTGTTTTACATTTGGTAGTGTATATATGTCAATGCCACTCTCTCACTTCGTCCCAGCTTACCCTTCTCCCTCCCCATGTCCTCAAGTCTATTCTCTACATCTGCGTCTTTATTCCTGTCCTGCCCCTAGGTTCATCAGAACCTTTTTTTTTTTTTAGATTCCATATATATGTGTTAGCATATATATAATTTGTTAGTATTTGTTTTTCTCGTTCTGACTTACTTCACTCTGTATGACAGACTCTAGGTCCATCCACCTCATTACAAGTAACTCAATTCGTTTCTTTTTATGGCTGAGTAATATTCCATTGTATATATGTGCCACATCTTCTTTATCCATTCATCTGTTGATGGACACTTAGGTTGCTTCCATGTCCTGGCTATTGTAAATAGTGCTGCAGTGTACATTGTGGTACATGTCTCTTTTTGAATTATGGTTTTCTCATGGTATATGCCCAGTAGTGGGATTGCTGGGTCATATGGTAGTTCTATTTTTATGAAAACTTACTTTTAATCCTGGTAATTTAACTATTGGTTTCATGGTTAGAAGAAGTCTTCCTCCAAGGATTTCGTAAATCTTTATTAACATCAGTTTGGAAATTTTCCCAAAATCCAAAGGAAGATATAGATTTAGGAAACTGAGTCTGAAAATTAAGCCCCTCAGGACATAATTTAGCTTGGATATTCTTTAAAATCAGCAGAGAAAAAGCCACAACAATTTGATAGCAAAGAGTTAATGATTTTCATTTGTTATGGCTCACATCAGTTAGAATGACAGCTTAATCTTTCATATATAAACTCAGTGAGGTTAATTACCACTTACTACAGTGAGTGAATCTAAATACTTGGGGTTGTCCATTCACATTCATGTGACATATTGGAAAAGTTAGCATCAAAGTTATGTACAGGGAACTCGAATTCTTTATGAAAAACTGTACCTCTGTTAATCTCTTGAGGGACTGACTTGATATACTTTTTTAAAAAAATAAATTTATTTATTTCTGGCTGTGTTGGGTCTTCATTGCTGTGTGCGGGCTTTCTCTAATTGCGGCGAGCAGGGGCTACTCTTTGGTGCGGTGCATGGGCTCTAGGTGTGCGGGCTTCAGTAGCTGTAGGCACACGGGCTCATTAGTTGTGGCTTGCAGGCTCTAGAGCGCAGCCTCAGTAGCTGTGGTGCACGGGCTTAGCTGCTCCGCGGCATGTGGGATCTTCCCGGACCAGGGCTGGAACCCGTGTCCCCTGCATTGGCAGGTGGATTCTTAACTACTGTGCCACCAGGTAAGTCCCTGACTGATATACTTTCAAAAAACATCTCATCATGTAATTTCACATGGTATGTAAGTATTACGAGATGCAAAAACGGGCAGATGAGATTTTTTCCTCTTAGCTCTGCACTCTTGGATGACTCTGCTTTTCCCTGGGAGCCTTTGAAAGTCATCAGAGCCCAGTAGGGGTCAGGCGCCCAAGAAATGGATAAGTGGTAAATTTATTGTTGTTGTTTATGTTTCTGAAAGGAAGAGGAATAGCAGGGAAGATATATTTCTTCTGTGGTTTCTCTTTTGCTCACCCTTTGGTCGAAGTTTATGAAATTGGTGTGGTTTTGACACAGTAACTTACAGCAAATAATCACCTAAATAGAACCTTCCTTGGCCATATAGTAACGGAATTACCATGTGAGAATTGAACTTCATTGCAACCTGTTTCTGAATTCAATAGCATCCTTTCATATCTGCATTATGGCCCATGTTTCTTTGCTGATTATCCCATATTCAGAAACAAGGGCAATATTCCTACAATTCTATTGGATTATTGCAGCCTAGAGTGCATCTTACTGAGGGGTGCTTGCTAACAGCTTAGTTCACACCCTGTTGCTAGTTCCCTCTTTCTCCTCCTTCTATTTACAGACAACTAAAAGATACATTCTTTTTCTAGAGCACTGCTCTCAACACATTCCCTTATATAAAAATCTTCATTAACGCCCTGCTGCTTACAGATAGACTCTTAGTTTAAAACCCTCTATAGTATGGTCCTGACCAATGTTCCAAATGTACCCAGTGGTGTGGACGAGTGGGTACTAGTCCAGCCAGATTGAGTGGCCTTTGGTATCTATTCTACAGAACCTAAGAGATCACTACTCCACTGCTTCTCTGCCCTCACTGTAGGTTTAAAATCACTTGAGGTGCTTTTGTAAAGGCCTTAGTGCTCTGAGGTTGGGCCTTTTAATAGCTCTGATGATCCCCTTATCAGAGCTCCTAACCATGCAACACAATCAAAAACCATATAGATGCTACCTTTCTTAAATTTTGATTTTCTTTTTGAGCCTCCATTAAGAAGAAAAGATAGGGGAATCGCTATCAAAAGCCTTGTTCTGGCCTCCAAGGGGGCAGCTGCCCTTTGTTCTTTAGCTCAACATTCTGAGCAGTAACTGGGCTTGAGCCCACTGGGCTTCTGCAAGGCCCTGGCACAGCACCTGAAGGGCTGCCCCAGTGCCTTCAGCGGGGGGGTGGGAGTCTATCAGTGAGGGCGCCACA